TCCCGCCAGGCACGCTGGTGGGAGCCAAAGGCGCCCGGCGTGGCGGCCGCCGCCGCCGCCTCCTCACCCTGGTGGTACCAGCTGGGGGGCGCCTGCTGGGCTCCCTGCCCTGCCCCAGGCGTGCCGCCGTCTGGCAGCGCGCCGCCGCTGCTGCCGCCCCGGCCGGCGCCCCGCCGCGAGCTGTACACCTCCTCAAACCAGCTGTCCACGTCTGCCTCACCCTCTTCAAGCGCAGGCTCACCGCCCAGGCCAGCCTCCTGCCTGCCTGCCTGGCCGCTGCAGGTACTGGTGCTGCTGGTGGTAGTGCTGCTGGTGCTGCTGCTGGTGCTGCTGCTGCTGGTGTTGCTGCTGGTAGCGGTGTTGGTGCTGCTGGCCGTGGCCCGTACCGCCAGCTCCTGCCTCGTCAGCATGGGCCGCGCCAGCTCATCCAGCTCGTGCCGCCACTCCGCCACGCCGGCGCACACGGCGCGCAGGTCGCGCCACGCGGCCAGCGTGCGCCCCGCCGGCGCCAGCAGCAGCGTGGGCTGCTGGCTGGCCAGTAGCGTGAGGTCGAGGGCCGCCAGGTCAGCGGGGGCGCGCTGGCGCAGCGCGCGCAGCGTGCGCTCCAGCCGCGCCGCCAGCAGGTGAGGGAAGCGCTGCACCAGCGTGGCGTAGGGGCGCAGCGGCAGCAGCGAGCCCAGGAACCTGCGCAGAGCGGTGGAGGGAGGGGCGGCGGGGTGAGGCGCGCGCCTGGTGAGGGGGTGGCGGGTCGAGGGCCGAGGTGTGTCCGCGGCCGGGGGCGGTGTGGGCGCTGAGCTGGAAGCCGGCCCTAGGAGAGGCGGGCCACGCAGGCGCGGGCGACAGGCGCGGGCAGCGGCGGCAGGCGGCGTGCCTGGCGTTGGCGTTGAGGGTTCGGTCGTTGACTGACAGCAGGGCCGGGTGCATTGCCAGCGCCGCCGCCGCCGCCTCCGCGCTGTGCAGGTGCAGCGCCAGCAGGGCCAGCCGCCGCTCCACAAACGACGGGCTGAGGGCCAGCAGGCGCGGGCTGCGCAGCACGGCCGCGCACAGCTGCTCCCGCCCGCCCACCAGCTGCTGCAGCGCCGCCAGCGCCCCGGGGCCGGGCCGTCGCGCCATGAGATGCGGGCATGCGGCCAGGAGCTGCGGCTGCGCGGCGGGTGGCACCCCCAGCGAGGCCAGCAGCGCCTGCGCCGCCGCCAGCCCGGCCTCTGCCTCCAGCTGCCGCCCCGCGCCGCCGCCTCCGCCCCGGGGCTGCCCATCGGCGACAGGGCTCAGCAGGTGGGCGGCCCCGGCGGCATGCATGTAAGACAGGAAGGGCTCCGGGTCGAGACCCAGCCCCGCGGCGGCCGCCCGGAAAGCAGCCACCCCCTCGCCGTGCGCCGCCAGCCAGCCCTCGTACCCCTGCGGGACAAGCGGCAGCGGCGGGGGTGGTGGCATGTAGGGTGAGGTGGCGGTGGTGCTGCATGCTGGTCTCGGCTGTGTGCAGCGGGCTAAAGGTCGAGGGCAAGGGAGGCGCACTCGAGCAGCGCCAGCGCCGCCCCTCGAGGCGCTCTGCAGTGCCTCCCGGCGCCAGCTGGCCGTGCACCGGCGGCCCGCCGGCAGCACCAGGGGCGGCAGGAACGGGCGCGCAGCCGGCCGGCGGCGGTGCCGCTGCGGGCCGGCAGCAGGGCAGCCGGGGCGAGGCTGCACCCCACCTGCAGCCGGCCGACGGCCTCCTCGAGCCGCGCCTTGCGGCGCTGCCGCGCCTTGGACCGCCCCGCAAACTGGGCTGCCGCCGCTGCGTGAGCCTCCGTCTGGGCGTCTGCCACGGGTGCTGCTTGCGCATCTGGGCCCGCTGCCGCAGCATCTGTCTGCTGGCCGGGAGCGGCGGCGCCGCCGCGCTGCGCCCGCTGCGCTGCAGCCTGCTCATCTGCATGCTGCTGGTCCAGGTCGCAGCGAAACACCCGCTCAGCAAACTCCAGAATGCGGTCGTCAAAGTCGCGGTGCGCGGGCGAGCGGAAGCGGTAGGGCGGCTTGCCGGCGGCCGCGTGCTTGGCGCTGGCGGCGGCGTCGGCAGGCGGCGGCGGCGCCGCCGCTGTCGGCTGCTCCGCCACAGGGTGCTGCGCCGGTTCTGCGGCGAACTGTCGCTGTTGGGAGGCGGCCAGGGGCCCTAGGGCGGGTAGCAGCGCCGCAGCCGGCAAAGAGCCGGCTGGCAGCAGCGCATCGGCGAGGCTGCTGCTGCTCAAAGCAGACCCCTGCACTACCAGCAGCAGCCGGTGAACCGTGCGGCGCATGCGTGCAGAGTTGCCTGCACGAGCAAAAAAGGCCGCCGCGCCAATTGGGCTCTGCAGCAGAGGCAATGCGGCCCTACGCAAATAGCAGGCAAATTTGGTGGTGTTCGGGCTCTCATGCATGCATAGGCCTCTCAGCTGCAGCCTGCAGCTAGCTGCAGCTCAGCACGCCACAGCAGCACGGGCTGGCTATATCTTTTCTTTGCCCGTTTCCCATGCTGCTACCATCCATCCAAGGTCCATCCAAGGTCTATACCATCCATCCAAGGTCTAGAAGCACCCAGGCCGCGTTCCGGCACTAGCGGTTGGCATCTCATTCCGGCAGCTCTCCACTTCCGCGTTCCTGTCCCCGCGCGCTTGGGAGCCCAACCTCCTGTCAAAGACAGCAGCGGCAGGAAGAATGGGACTATGTGCCTCCACTCACCAGCCGCCCAGTGGGCGCTCGGACGGCTCGCAGCAAAAAGGTAGCTGGGCGGCGCGTTGGGGGGCGCTTCAGCTGTAAATGTGCCGTGGGAGCGCCAAAGGCTCCCGCGCCAGCCTGCAGTAGCGCCGCAGTACCCGCTGTCGCCAACCGACCCTCCCTCTCCTGCAGGCAAGCCTGGGGCGCGAGGAGGCGAGGTGCAAGGGGCCGGCAAGGTGTTCCATCTGGATGTGGACGCCGGCAGCAAGGCGGCAGGGTTGCGGCGGCAGCAGCCGGGCTCGCCTCCCATCTCAGCGGTGAGCTGGGTGCTGGAATTTTGCATGTGCCAGGCAGCCCCTCCTGCTTGGCCTGTGCCCCCGTATTTGGGTGGCATGCCAGCCCACCTTCCATGCGCGTGGCGGAGATGCAGTCCCAAAGCCTGTGGGATCCGCCCGGCAGCAGAGCGCGGGCAGGCCAGCTGGCTGCTCCTCTGTGCCCTCTTACTGCCAGCCCCATGCCTGGCTGTGCAGAGGCTGTCGCAGCAGCAGCAGCAGCAGCAGCAGCAGCAGGGCGAGCTGGGAGAGCAGCCCTCTGGCAGCGCGCAGCGCCGGCCCAGCAGCGGCGGCAGCAGCAGCAGCGGCGGCGGGGTCGGCGGGGCCAGCACCCGTGCGCGGCGCCTGTCGTTCACAGGCCCTTGCGGCGGCACCGCGGCGGCTCCTGCCCTGCCCGCGGCACCCAGCAGCAGTAGCCTGTCCAGCGCTGGAACCCCCAGGGAAGAGACGAGCGGCCGTGGCGGGCTGCCGGCCCTGAGTGCTCAGCCCGCGCTGCCAGAGGCCCACCCTCTGCCTGAGCGGAGGGTGCGCTTCGACTCCCCTATCAAGACACACGGCCGGCGGGAGGAGGAGGAGGCCGGCGCAGGCACGGCACCGCTGGCGTCGCCGCTCGTGCCTGTGGCGCCGCGTGTTGGCGCGCCCCCGCTACCGCCGCCCTCAGCCCTGCGGCAAGCTAGCCGCGAGGGCACGCCGTCCCGCCCCTCCGCAGCCCCCGCCCCGCCGCTGTCGCCAGCCAAGGCGGCGGCCGCGGCGTTTGCCGCTGCCGAGGCGCGCCTGCGGCGCGGCCTGGCCGCAGGCGGCTCCCCCACCAAGGCCGCCGCAGCTGCGGCGGTGCCCATGTCTGAGCTCATACATTCGGTGGCCAGCCTGTCGCGGGCGGGACGGGAGCCATCGTACCGCAAGCAGAACCAGGTGGGGGCGGTGCCACGGTGTGTGTGCTGGGCCGGGAACCCTTGCGTGTGCCAGAGAGATGGAATGGCTTGCAGCCGCCTGCCACTCCATTGCTGCTGCTGCGCCCACCCCTGCCCTGGCCCCGTAAGAGCAGGCCAAGGCTGCGTCTCAGCTCATGGCTGCCGCTCCTGTACCGCTCTGTGCTGCCGCCGTACTGCCCTGCAGGACACCTGCTTTGCCTTCTCCCAGTACTGCCGCCCCACCCAGGCGCTGCTGGCGGCGCTGGACGGCCACGGCCCTCACGGACACGCGGTGAGGCGCCGGGGTGGCGCGTTGTGGGTGTGGTGGGGGGGATGTGGGGACCCAGAAGCGGGCAGTGGGGGCTTGCCTGCAGCGCGGCAGACTGTCTTAGTCATCTGGGGCTGCTGGGGCTGCCGGCGGCCCGCACGACACTGCCAATGGCAGGCCGAAGAGCCCACTGCACCCCTGTTGCCCCCATTTTCCTGCCCGGCCTGCCTGGTAGGTGTCTGAGTTTCTTCGCCAGAAGCTGCCGCTGGAGCTGGCCGAGCAGCTGGGGGAGAGCGGTACCGTCGCCGGCCGCGCCGCAGCCGCCGCCGGTGCCGGCGGCGCCGCCGCGGGCACCCCCGCAGACGCCGCCGCCGCCCTGTCCGCCACCTTCCTGCGTGTGGACCGGGAGCTGTGCGGCGGCAGCGGCGTGAGCGTGGCGTACAGCGGCAGTACGGCGGTGGTGTGCATGCTGCAGGGGCGGCGCCTGACGACGGCGTGGGTGGGGGACAGCCGCGCGGTGCTGGCCCGGCAGGTGGGGTGGGTGGGGAGCATGGGAGCCGTTATGGTTATCTCGTGCGGGGCCGGGGCCGCAGCAGGCTGGCTGGCAGGTCCAGCATAGGGGGTGGGGCCTGGCTGGGCGGCACGCCTGGTGCCTTGCATCAGTCATGTGACGTTGGCAGCCGTCCCTCTCCCGCCCGGCTCACCCCGCCGCCTTGCCTTGGCCCGGCCTGCAGGAGCCGCGCGGCTGCCGCGCCATCTGCCTGACGCGGGACCACAAGCCCAGCACCCCAGACGAGCGTGCCCGCATACTGATGAGCGGCGGCCGCGTGGAGCAGTGAGGGGCCTGCCTGCCTGCCGGCCAGCCTGGGGCGCAGCGGTGTGTGCGTGGTGTGTGTGTGCATACACATGCGGTGTGTGCGTGGTGTTGTGCGGTGGTGGTGGGGGGGGGCTGCTGGCAGTTGACCCACGTGCAGTGGAGGCAGGGGCGTGGATGGTGTGGTTGCCTCCGCTCTGCCCCCGCCCCGGCCGCGGGCCCTCCTCTGATCTGCACATGCCACTGGTCTGTCACCGCCTGCTGCTGCCTGCCGCCCTCCTGCCGCAGCCTGTCCGACCAGCGGGGCCAGCCGGTGGGGCCGCAGCGCGTGTGGCTGGCGGACAGCTGGGTGCCGGGGCTGGCGATGAGCCGGGCGCTGGGCGACGCAGTGGCGCACACCGTGGGTGTCAGCTCAGGTGGGCTGCGTGGCGGCAAGGCACCGTGGCGGCGTGGCGGCCCGGCCCGGCTGGGGACCTGCTGCCCGCTGCGCCCGCCGTGCCTGCCCGGCTTCTGCCGGCCCCTGCCTGCCCCTGCACGGGTGCTCTGTGTGCCCCTGCACTGCATGCCACCCCCTGCCACATGCCCTGGCACACGGCGCCACACGCACACGCGCAGCGCCCCCTGCTGCCCCGCCCTGCAGAGCCCGAGACGTCGGTGGTGGAGCTGTGCCCGCAGGACAAGTGGCTGCTGCTGGCCACAGACGGGGTGTGGGAGTTCATGGAGCCGCAGGTGGGTGGGCTGTACTGCCTTGTACCGCCCATTACCGCCCACCTGGTACTCCCCCGTCTGTACCTCTCTGTGCTGCACGGCTGGGATCCCAGGATCGCACACCGCCTTCTGCTGCATGTGCTGCATCTCGCGCTGCGGTTAGCCAGTGCAGCTGGCTGCAACCCCGGCTGCCCGGCAGCCCATCACGCCTGCCTGCCTCCTGCTGTGCGCCCCCGCCGCCTGCCTGCAGCTGGCTGTGGACATTGTGAGCGGGTGCAAGGATGCGGAGGAGGCGTGCCGCATGGTGAGGCCAGGCAGGCCGCACTGCCTGCCGCCATGCCCGCCCAGCGATGCAGCATGCCAGGCGTGGCCCGCTTGCCAGCTGCCCACCGCCTCCCGGACCGTGCCACCTGCCCAGGCTGCGCCGTCTGCGCTCTGTGCCGGGGCCCTCCCTGACTGCCTCCCCCTCCCACCCTCCCTCCCACTCCATCCCAATCCATCCCGCACACCCTGTCCCTGCCTGC